ACACCACAACAGACACAAGTAGATGTGGGGTGTTGTCGAGGGATCACAATACCAAGACTCAGCAAACAACCTAACGCACCACACCGGCGTGCGTACCAAGCCCCACGGCACAACAGAGAATCATCCATAATCAACGAGTGCCAAACCTTAACACGAACCTTGACTGGGAGATCCATCACGGGCGGTCAAGACGATTAGCAGGTTGGGGGAGGCATCATTGCGTCGTCATTGAGCAAAAGTGAACCAAGACAACACCAAGAGCCCGAAGCTCGCCGCAGCACAACGGCAACCATGGGAGGGTCTTGAGCATGACAGCAACAGGACGGAGACCACGCGAAGGACAGCCGAAGAGAAAACACATGAAGGACACACCAACATGGATGACACACAAAATGATTTGCAAAGGCGAAAGGATGGTGGCGAAGGGCTCGACGAGGAAGCAACAGAACGGCAGCCATGGGAGGGTCTTGAGCAGGCACAACAACTGGACGACGCACCACCGAAGGGCGGGGGTCGGAAGGGAGGCGGCGGGTGATGGGTTGGAGGGGGGATGTCACGGAGTCGTTGGCAGACCCAAAGTCGCCAGCAACCTAGCATGAGGCTTGGCAATGACAATGGCAGGGGTTCCCAAGCGACGCCTTCAGGAAGGTGTACAACGTCGTCGGAGCTTTCGCCCGGAACCCCCCCGGGAGGAGATGCATCTCCCAAACCACGCCTCCAGGGAGGATTGCGACGGAAAGGGCGCCGCCGTGGTCGCTCGTACTGAGCAGGATTTCTCCGGGAGCAAGCACCTGACCTCAAAGGCACTGCCAGCCGGCATAGATACTCCAGCCTCGCCCAAGCATCAGAACCAACACTAGCACTGGGGATGAAGCAGAGCAAAGGAGGTCGGGCTGCCACCCCGCACCACCCAGGTTGGACGAGCGGGCGGACCAAGACCCGCACAAGGCTGGGCGATGAATCCCGCAGCCTCGGCACACCGGCCCGAAGCAGAGGGATGACGCAGAGGATGGCGGCGCAGGTCGAGAGCGGCAAGCACTGGCCGGATCTGAACGGTGGAGGACGCCGTCGGGCACGATGGAAGTGGACGCCGCGCGGCGGCGCAAGATGCACCGAGGCAGCAGGAGCCGGTCGGGGCATGGAGGTGCAAGACCCGGCATGGAGCAAAGCCGCGCTGGTGCAGGCCATGCGCGAGAGGGGAAGGTTGAAGCCCAGAGCAGCGGAAGTGGATCCGGAGCTGAGGTGCCACAGCTCGGCGCACGGGTGCGTGGAGCAGAGGCTTGGAGTCGAGGCGCAGGAGAGCTACCGCGAAAGCTGAGCGCGGCAGGCCAGGAGGAGGGAGGTCGAGGGAGCCCGGTGGATGCCAGCACGGCGAGCGGCGGCGAGGACATGCCGCGGCAGAGCAGATCGAAGTTGCGCTCCCGGCAGATTCGCGTCTCAGTCGGATGGAGGTCGAGGAAGGACGAGGGAGACCGGCAGAGCCCATCGCGCCGAGCGGCGACGAGCGCTGGCAGGAGCCGAGCAGATCGAGGCGACGCAATGTGATGAAGCTTTTTGGATCTTGGGGAGGAGTAGGAAGCCTGCGGGCGTGAGAGCAGGCAAAGCAAGGCCCCGCCGCCGCCGTCCGTCGCACAGGGCTTAGCCCGGCGACATCCTCCGGCGACGGCCAGGGAAGGGAGCGGTGGTGGGGTTTGGTTTGGTGGCGGCGGCGGCGGGCCTCCGGAGTCGCCACGAGCGACCCAGGAGGCAGCGGGGGCGGAGGTCCTTTTTTCATCTATACTTGTTTTTCACCCAACCCAAACCAAAACCGATTCCATTTTTGGACTGAATCCACATATTGAAACCGTGGACAAGTCCATATATGCAGGTGCCGTGGACAAGTTCATATATGCAGGTGCAGAGTTTCTGAATTGCATCTTGGAACCTGTAGGCCGAGCTCTGGACGCCAACGAGGAGACTGAAACCCGCAGCGACGGAGACAACTCGACACTCGAAACCAACGACAGCGGCGGAGACGGACTCGAGCTCCATGGCGGTGGCGACGATTCAAGCCTTGGGACGTTGGAGGCAACTAAAATCGGGCAGCTTCAAGGGTCGGAAAGCTGGAGGAGAGACGAGCAAGCTCCAGCCGGTGGCGAGGGAAAATGGAATTCAATAAAATTTGAAAATATAGACACATTCTAGAAATGTTTCCTGCTGATATTTCCTCTTTATTCCACAGCTGGCGGGCTTTGGTTACGGCCTCATGGAATTGTTTTCCTTGAAACATGGTATGGCACCAAATCCTCTCACGGACTTGCATTCAGTTTAAGTGAATAATTGTGTCTACTATTTTGTAGCTTTTATAAGAGTGGTAGATGTATAGTAAATTTCTGATTAAGATGCTGTAAATGCTTGGGCTGTAAACTGTCGTAGAAAAATATTGCAAATTTCCCTATAATATGTTGTAAAACTAGGTTTTTGTAGATTAAGTTATTATACTCATAGCGTGGCTGCTGGAATGAGTTGTACAGAATTCGAAATGATTATTCATTAGGACTTTGCTGTTTCAGACAGATTCTAGAAACGGTAGAGATAAACTAGACATCGAAAGATACAACTTAATTCGTTTGTAGGGGAGCTATCTAATGCGTTGTTCGGTGGGTGCAGATTCGGAAGAGCTGTCCATAGAGGAATAACCAAAGCAGAGGTGCTGCGCAGGAAACGATGCTGGCAGCCGGCATACGGGACAGGGGATCTAGTGAAGTCGTCCTTGGAGTTTTTATTCAGTTATTTCTTCCATCATCATATTGATTCGTTTCCTGCTGGTTGATTGCGCAATCAAAAGCATGAGATTTAATTCTATCGTGCATTATTTAAATATAAGGAAACGGTGGATTAGGAGGCGACCTGTGCCGATTTGTCTACATATATGTACTCCTAGCGTGTAATAAGGGCTAAAGCTTGGATATGTTTAGCGAGAAGACTCCGGCTGTAGGCCGAATCATACAATGTGGCGACTGTTCCAACCGTTGGACTTGGATTACTATTTCACTATCAAGAAAGTACCATTAGTTCTGAATAATTACCGTTATTTATTCAGCGTACTTGTGATGTATTGGTTGTTGTTGCTCAGCTTGTTGCCCTGATGTCAAACTCTGTTTAGTTGTTACCAGGATTGAAAACTAGCAGGAATTAAATTTATGTGAGCTTGTTGACAGAAGTGATGGCCGTACTGTTTAATTTGATTTGAATTTTCAGGAATTTGATGTTCGTCAACTTTTGCCTGTCACCAACTCGGGTGGGACTGCTCACCGGCCATCACTTCTGCCAACAAGCTAACATAATCGTGTGCGGTGAGCTGATTACTCTTGTCCGCTAATCAGTCGGAATCACTTCCTGATCATCAATTCTCGAGCCTCCCATCCAAGAAACGCAAGAGGAGAAGAGAAATGTCGTCATTGCGGAACCAGCTCGTCACCGCGTATGCCCCCTCATCTCTTGGCCTTGCCGCCACGTGACACGTGTTCCACCAAATGCCCCGTCGGGACTGGCGGGACGGCACCTCCTGAATGTCGCTCGTCAACACACACGTCCCCGCCAGCTCTTGAGTCATGCACGTCCAGGGCCTCTCTGCCAGCACCTTGGCCCTCGGCTCCATTTCTTGTTCATACACTACCTACACACACACTATAGTGGTAGTCTGCTATGAGGTTTTGCCTTTATACTTCCTATACAGACTGCGCGTCAGTCAATAATAGGAGGCCAAATGGACCGGAAGAGAAAATATATCCAAAGTTGGAGACTAGTCATACAGTGGTATATATAATATAACAGTGACAGTGATGTGCGTTGCCTGCTTGCAGTTCAAGTCATTCATGTACTCCCCGCATTACACGTATGTATGCATCTCAGGCACATTAATATGATTCTAAATCTGAGCCATTAAAATCTATAAATAACATATCATATATGGTTTTGCTCGTTTGCCTCTGAGTTTAATATAAGAGATAGATTTTAATTTGCGGGCACATAAAACTATCACAATAAATCTGATGATCGAGATTGTATCAACCATCTTTCTAAAAAAAGTTGAAGTGAAGTGAGACGAAACTTGGTGTGGTCTTGCAGCACGACTTGTTGTCTTGTAGTCTTGTGTGTGGAAAGAACGAAGACTTAAGGGACGTTTATCATCTGGTCTTTGCATTCATGCAGGCTGGCAGACTTAAGGCAATTGGCATTCATACAGCTCACACGCACATGAATGATAGCACCAGCAGATTCGACTCAATTGATGTGTGTTGAGTGTTGACTGACTTAGAGGACCTCAATATAAATAGAAGTTCCGCGTGCACCTCAATATAAACGCATGCCTTGCCTGATTGCAGGTCAAAGTCCTTCATGGACTGGCACCGGACGGACCAGACTCCCTGTGTTACAATCTCTGGTACATTAATTTAATTTCTAAACCTCAGCCTTTTAAAATCTATAAGCAACATATCATATGGTTTTGCCTATGTGAAAAATGTGATTGCTCATATGCCTCTTAGTTTAATAATAATATAATAGATACATTTTAATTTGTGGGCACATAAAACTATCGCAATAAACCTGATGATCGAGATTGTATCAATCATCTTTCCAAAAAAAATAATGAAGTACTGTGTGCACCATTCGGTGCTGGTGTGAAAAGGCAGGACTTCTGGTCTTGTTGTCATGTGTGTATGGAAAGGACCAAGACTTCAGCAAGGTTTATGGTCTGGTCTTCGCATTCATGCAGGCTGGCAGATCACCATTATTTGATGGGCCAATGATAGAGGGCTAAGCTAGCTAGCTATATTGGCAATTGCCATGCAACAGACTTGTGCAGCACAAGTGACGCCCACATGAATGATAGCACCAGCACCTTCGCCTCAATCGCTGTGTGTTGACTGACTTAGAGGGCCTCATGGACGACACATACCTAAATATAAATAGAGGTTCCATTTGCACCAAAGCCACATCCCAAAACCAAACACAACATGCAAACACTAGGCTGCAAAATGCGAGCTCTGTTGCATCTCTGCCTGCTGCTCCTGCCGTGCCTTCTTCTCCTCGAAGAAGCACAAGCGGCACGGCATGGAGGGATCTCACTAAGGTCCCAACAAATGGCCCTCCTCCACTGGAAAGCTACTCTTGCGAGCCCACTGCTGCAGATGAGCTCTTGGCAGGAGAACACCAGCCCCTGCAACTGGTCGGGCATAATGTGTACGGCTGTTCGCCATGGTCGCCATATGCCCTGGGTGGTGACCAACATCTCCCTGCCGGATGCTGGCATCCATGGCAAACTTGGTGAGCTCAACTTCTCGGCTCTTCCATTCCTCACATATATCGACCTTCATAACAATAGCTTCCATGGTGCACTACCCACTAGTATCAGCTCCCTGTCAGCACTTTTAGAACTCAACCTTGAGCAGAACCAGCTCGCAGGGAAAATTCCTTGTGAGATTGGTGACCTCAAAAGTCTCATGTTGCTTGATCTCTCATTTAACAAACTCACAGGACATATCCCTGCATCTCTGGGTAACCTAACAATGTTAACTCAACTTGGAATTCACCAAAACATGGTATCCGGTCTCATCCCTAAAGAGATTGGAAGGCTTGTCAACCTACAAGTTCTACAACTAAGCAACAGCAGCTTAAGCGGTTTCATACCGAAAACCATTGGTAATCTGACCCAACTAAATACTTTGTACCTATTTGGTAATCAACTCTCAGGGCCTATACCCCAAGAATTAGGTAGGCTAGTCCATATGCAAAGTCTTGAACTTAATTCAAATGATTTATCGGGTCCAATTCCAGTCTCCATAACCAATCTCACTAAGATGAACACACTTTTTCTCTATGATAATCAAATAACAGGTTCCATCCCCCCGACAATAGGAAATCTTAATATGTTGAATATACTTTGTCTCTATCGAAATCAAATAACTGGTTCAATACCCCCGGGACTAGGAAACCTCACTATGCTAAATAAGCTTTTTCTCTATACAAATCAAATCACAGGGTCGATGCCTTCAGAAGTGGGTGGCTTGCTAAATCTCCAAGGATTATACTTGTCCGAGAACCAAATATCCGGCTCTCTTCCTAACAGCTTAGGAAATATTACCAAGTTACTTGCATTATCCCTCTCTGATAATCAGATAACCGGTTTCATTCCCCAAGAGATTGGCAATCTGATGAACCTCAAGTATTTAGGCTTGTATCTTAACCAAATTTCGGGATCAATACCAAAAACTTTTGGGAAGTTGCAAAGCATCCAAGAACTGCAACTCTTTGAAAACAATCTATCAGGTTCTCTTCCTCAAGAAATAGGACATCTCACAAGCCTTATTAAACTTGGGTTGTCTAACAACTCACTTTCAGGAACTTTACCCGCAAAAATATGTTCGGGTGGTAGACTTCAGTTTGTCGGCATATCTTTTAATATGTTCAGTGGCCTAATTCCAAAGAGTTTAAAGACATGTACGAGTTTGGTTGAAATCGACCTTCAGTGGAACCAACTAACAGGAGATTTATCTCAGCATTTTGGTGTGTACCCACAACTAAAAGACATGCGCTTGACATCGAATAGATTCTCTGGGAAAATCTCACAAAATCTAGGTGCATGTACCCAATTAACGGTATTACGGCTAGCACAAAATATGATCACTGGTTCCATACCTCCAATCCTTTCTAAATTGTCCAGCCTAGAAGAACTAACACTCGATTCTAATCATCTTAATGGTGAGATTCCACCAGAAATTTGTACTTTAGCAAATCTATATATACTGAACTTATCATCAAACCGACTATCTGGACCCATACCCATACAAATACAAAAGCTAAGCAACATAGGATACCTTGATATATCTGGGAACAGATTGGGTGGATTAATACCTGAGGAACTAGGGGGCTGCACGAAATTGCAATCCTTGAAGATCAACAACAACAACTTCAGTGGGAGTTTGCCCGGTGCGATTGGAAATTTAGCAGGCCTGCAAATCATGCTAGATGTGAGCAACAATAACCTCACTGGTGTGTTGCCACGGCAACTCGGGAAGTTGGAGATGCTGAAATTTCTGAATTTATCACATAATCAGTTCAGTGGCAGCATTCCATCATCATTTGCAAGCATGGTCAGCCTTTCAACAGTCGATGTGTCCTACAACGAGTTGGAAGGACCAATCCCAATAGCAAGGCTCCTAAAAAATGCTTCAACAAGTTGGTTTCTTCCTAATAAAGGTCTATGTGGTAACCTCTCTGGCATGCCACCTTGTTATTCAACCCCAGTAGCTGCTCACAAGAAGGGGAAGATACTTGGTTTGCTTTTGCCAATTGTTCTTGTGATGGGTTTCAGCGTTGTTGCTGCAACTGTTGTCATAATAATACTTGCTCGTATGAAGATAAAACCACAAGAAAGTGTTACCAATGAAGCAAGGGGCCTATTCTCTGTTTGGAATTTTGATGGAAGATTAGCATTTGACGATATTATAAGGGCAACCGAAGACTTTGATGATAAGTACATCATTGGAATAGGAGGATACGGCAAAGTCTACAAGGCACAACTCCATGACGGGCAGCTAGTTGCTGTCAAGAAGCTTCATCGGGACGAAGAAGAGTTGGATGATGAAAGAAGATTCCGTAGTGAAATGGAAATCTTAACACAGATCCGACAACGAAGCATTGTCAAAATGTATGGATTCTGCTCCCATCCAACGTATAAATTTCTAGTCTACGACTACATTCAGCAGGGAAGCCTCCACAGGACATTGGAAAATGAGGAGCTGGCAAAGGAATTGGATTGGCACAAGAGAATTACTGTTGCAAATGATGTGGCTCAAGCAGTATCTTATTTGCACCATGAATGCAGTCCACCTATAATACATCGAGATATCACAAGCAATAACATCTTACTTGATACATCCTTGAAGGCTTTTGTCTCAGATTTTGGCACAGCAAGGATTCTTAAGCCCGATTCATCAAACTGGAGCGCACTAGCAGGAACATATGGGTACATTGCTCCTGGTATGTAGTAGTATATCTTTCCTTCTCACGTCAGATGCATTCATCTCTATCCACTTTATTTCTAATTCTAATGTTTAATTTGGTATTGTGCAGAAATGGCGTACACATCTGTTGTGACTGAGAAATGTGACGTCTATAGTTTTGGCGTGGTTGTGCTAGAGTTAGTGATGGGCAAGCATCCAATGGATCTATTAGATGGTATCTCAAGCGGGGAACAAGATGTGCTGGTGAAAGATATTCTAGACCAACGGCCGACAACACCAACAAGAACAGAAGAGGATAGCTTGGCTCTGCTCGTCAGCCTCGCCTTTTCTTGCTTGGAATCTTCTCCGCAAGCAAGACCAACCATGCGGGAGGCATACCAAGCACTCATCCAGTGATCCTCCTCTAGTCATTGTCCAGTGTGCTGAATGAATCTACCACCGTGTCATGTTAATTGTAGATTTCATTTTCCCCTTTTACACATGAAAGAATGGTCAATGTGGTAGACAATGTTGTGTAATCGCCGTGTCATAGTGTGGACGACTCCACGAGTTTGTTCGTGCAAAGTCTGAGTCTTGTCATGTTGTGAGTTGTGCGCCCGCGTGATCCCCGAGTCGCGGGGTGGCACGACTCGCACAAGGCCATGTTTACCGTTCTCTTGTTCAAGTTTTTTATGTTCAAATAAGAGAAGAGAAAAGACGAGAAAAGCTACAGAAGTTTGATCAGCGCAAAGCACTTGTGCCCCTCTCTCAAATTTCCTTGCACGCGAGTTCGTGTCTTTGTCGATTCGGTACTGAAATTTGAAGTTTTGATGGTCTAGCGTCAATCACGAGAGTAGGCGTGGCAAGACTGCGAAGGACGTCGCAAACCTTTGGTTCGAAAGTCAAGCAAAACTATTCAGTACGTTTTATTTCTGGTACGTTTCAGCTATGTGCAGTTGGCTTGCGGTGGTTTGTGATGTTTGTTTGTGAACTGACATGTTTTGAGTGGACCAGGCGTGTATGACCCTACTGTTGAATTTGACCATTAGTAGAACTAGTACGTAGTACCATGCATCCAGTGTGAGGGAATTCAGTAAAACTAATAACTAGTATTAATTCAGCGTGAGAAAAATCATTGCTACATATATGCTGCAGCTGGGACGTTGTTGGACTCTTAATTAGCAGCACAAGTAGTACTATCATGGTGGCAGTGCTCTTGGCT